ACGTGGAAGCGGAATTCAACGGAAAGTTTGGGATTGTCTTCAGGAACGCAAAAGTCTTGAGGACCAAATACGAAAATTTAAAGAAGACGGCAAAAAAAAATTTCGCAGTTGAGAGGAGAGAGCTGTATAGAACCGGTGGTGGAACGACTGCTTCTTTACCAACTACTAGTATAGACGAAAAAATACTAAGTAAATGTCAGTCTGAACAAGTAGTTGGCAATAAATCTATCTATGATGATGATGCCTTAGAAATAAATGGCAATACTCTAAAATTTTTAGAAATCTTTTACAACACATACCTCCTATATTTTAGACGAAAATTGCATTGTGGAGACGCTCGAGGCGTCAGGTACTACTAAACTTTTCATGCATTTAAGCTCTGTTAAGCATACTTGGCATTGCATGCACTGCTACACCATTTTTACGTAGAAATCAAAAACCAACAGACTTTTACGTATGTAATGCTGTGCGTTGTGTAACCGCTTACACGCGAAGCTCATTTAACAGATTCCTTATGTGACAACGCTCAAGCAATGCCAAGTATGCACAACGGAGCCTTTTGTGATTTTATTTATGCGTAGATACATTCCTTTAACAGATAAAGCAGTCGGAAGCCTACGCCTGCAGATCTGCGGAAACCGGTTCATGGTGTTTTGAAAGCGAGGACGAAGTATTCCGCGACAGACACCTGGATGAATGTTGCCGTAAAAAAGAAACAAAAATGAGAACTTCTCATGAAATACACTGCTGAGGAACACGACATCAAAATAAAAAAACAAGAAATGGAAATTGTAATAATGAAAAAGGAGCACGATCTCAAAGTTATAAAGATGGAGTTGGAAATCGACCTTTTAAAATTACAAATACAACAAATGGAAAAAAAGAGTTTGGGTGATTGCAACAACATTAGTGTTTAGTTTTGTTTTACTAATTTTTAGTCTTAATGTGATTGTTTTTATTTTTTTAAATGTAAGGAATAGGGCTGGGACTATCCGCATAATCGAATATCCGGATATCCAGGCGGATTATCCGTTGACACGGATAAAATCCGGATAGTATGGATATCCGGTTAATATTCGTTTGTGCAATTATTCGGATATCCGGATTTGCGAAGAACTGGGTAGCATTCGTATTTTCGGATATCCAAAAAAATTAAGAGAATTTGGTAAAGCATTCACTATGAACAAAAGTATTGTAGCAGCTTTCATTACTCAGTCCATGATAAAAATATAGTAAGGTAGAACCGCTGAGAGTTACTTTTAAAATTCTTGACGTTTCCAAACAATTAAATTTTTAAATTTACTCATAAACTCACACACACATTTTCATTTTCAATCTCAAGCAACAACAATTTCGAACAATTTCAATTTTTTATTTTCAATTTTATATGATTTTAAAATGCTGGCACACTTCAAAAAAATATCATGGCCGGCAAAATGAGAGAACGGCTCTACCTTGCTATGTTTTTATCATGACTCAGTCCATGATATTTTAAAGCCAAGATGAAATTCTCAATTTTAATCAATATATATCTTTTAATATATATATATTTTTTTATTTTAACGAAACGAAATTTTCATTTCACAATATCAGGCGCTCATAAATATGAAGTAGCAAGTTTTCAATACGCATAAATTTGTTTGTAGAACTTTCTATTTCCTTTCTAGGAGTCTTTGAAATTCACAAAGTAGAATTTTTGAAATTTAAAAATTTATACAAAATATTTTGTGCGTAGAAATAGAAAACTTCTTACTTCATGTGTATGGGCGCCTAGTATTGGGAAATGAAAATATCGTTTTGATGAAATAACAACAGGCCATAAGAGCGGCCGCAGGAAAATGGACTCATTTTATTAATTTATTTGCCCTATTTTGCATTTCATTAATATCTGATATCCGGAGAACTAAGGAAAAATCCGGATATTCGGAGATCCGAATATTATCTTAGCTTCGGGTATATGCAGTTTTTCGTTTAAGTTCTCCGGATATTCGAATATTCGGTTTATCAGGATAGTTGAAAAATCCGGATGAAACTCCCAGCCCTAGTAAGGAAGCGAATATAGTCATACGAAATAAAGTAAATAAAGTCTGAGTAGTCTGTAAATAATTAAAGTAATACAAATGTACCTTTTTTTATAATAATAAGAAAACTGAATTACTTTTTATATTATGTGATAATTTAGACCAATGCATATTTTATTATGTACGCTAAACCGTTATGAAAGCACTTAAAAAATAAAAGACTGAATATAAAATTTTACATGAAAACTAACTGTTTCCATTTCGAAGCAAGTCCTTAAAGTAATTGTTAACTAATGATGTCCTGGTTGAATTGTTTGGATTCGAAGTTTCTCATTGCCTGTTCCTTGGAACTGAGAGAGCGAAATCTACTGCAGTGGAAGCATGAGGATCTAATAAAGGTAAATTGTTTTCGTTATTTGTCCAGCAAATATTATGTAGAACAGCAGTAGCAAAAATTATGCTCTAGACTTTTTTGTGATTTAAACGAATTTCAATTGACGGAATTGGAAAGCGCCTTTTCCAAACACCATAACTCCTTTCCACGGTACAACGCGTTCTTATTAAAGACTCATTGAATAAGTTTTCTTCTGGAGTTATCGGGTTATACTGTAGACAAACGGGCTCGATTATTTGCATAACCAGCCTTTATTTGCTTTGACTCATGCATTTTCCTCTTTAATATGCGCATAAGCAGCCGAACAAATGCACGAAATTTTTGGGAATTAACTCGGATCCGGGCAGTTTTCGTTGCCAACACTGGTAAAAACGGCCAGCTGTTGGCTTTTGTACAAGTAAGCAAACAAAGCGCGCGAGATCCGCGTCCGCGGTAGCCGAGTGGTAAGAGTTACGGGATACAAGCCTGTAGCTGCCAGGTTCGATCCTCGGTTGGAGCGATTGCGAATTTTTTTTTGTTTTTATTTATTTTATATTTTTTTTTATTTTATTTGATCTATATATTTAATGTTACTTTATTTTGTTTTCATTTGCTTTATTTTATATCACTTTTTTTATTTTACTATCAGTTAATTTAAATTTTTAGAGTTGAATTTTAATAAAAAGTCAACAACAACTAACTGAAAGCAACGTAAAAAAAATATAGAACTTATAAAAAAAAGAATGTAAAAAAAAATATAAAAAAAATGAAAATTTAATTGGCCGTGGGACTCGAACCCACGATCTTGCGGCTCGTTTATCCGCATAACTGCCGTCTGTGAGGTCAAAATTATTATGCGCATATGTATGCCAGATTATATGCATAAGCTTTGCCGTCTGTCACAGCTTTTAGACAAAGGTGTTATCAAAAACTTTTTATTTGGATAACCACTATCTGCAACAATTAAACTGTCCCCGAATTCACCGTTTTCGAAACGAGAATAAATCCTGGAATTTCTTAATATATTTGAGTCGTGAGCAGATCCGGGCCAGCGAGCAACAATGTTTGTCATCTTTAAGTTTGCATCACACATTGTTTGGATGTTAATGGAGAAAAATCCTTTTCTATTTCGATATAGCTCTGGATTATTGCCACCTATGGAATATGTCAATATATAATAGTATTTTGTGAGTTCGTCTAATAGAAAATAAACAAAAGCAGTTACCTGGTGAGATTATCTTCACGTGCGTACAATCGAAAACACCAATTACTGTGGGAAACTTAGCAATACTGTAAAATCCTTTATAAGTTTCATATTTTTGGCTGCCATCTTTTGGCAGCCGTGAACCGTTCTCTTAGCAAGGCTATATGGTGTGACACCAGCGTAACAACTTTGGACACTATCGATTTTGATGTCCCACACAAATCGCCAATTGTTTGAAGCATTCCACCAGTCGCATATACCCGCAAAGTGATTAAAAGCATTTGCTCCTCTGTTAAGGCGTGATTCCTACAAATGGAAAAATTATTACTTTAATTATTAAACTAAAAATATCCTTACCAATCTGTTGGGTGCTTTATGTGATGTCCGATAAGCTCCAAAATGCTATACACTAATGCCTTCCTCATCCGGAATCGATCACAAAAATCCTTGTCATCCAAGACATTGAAATGATTTGGCCGAGTGGATACAATTCTTGTCCTTCGCAATACAACAATTGTGAGTATTTAATTGTAAGTAATGTAGATAAATCCATTTTATCAAACCATTTTAATTTTGTTGATTTCACTTTCAAATAAACTTTTCCAGCTGATGACAACTCGACAGATGAACAGCTGATTAGTTAAACTCAGTTTAAACCTGCCAGATTGGGCGTTTAAACTTAGTTTAAACTACGTTTGAATTGAACTGAAAAACTGCACAATGAGTTTAAACTTAGTTTAAACGAGAAACGAGGTTAAACTCGCGTTGAAAAACTTGCCCTTATATACCTGCGCTTGCACTCATAGCAACTCTAGAATGTTCTGAAGTTCATCGCTCCTTCTCTTTTTCTCGCTGTTCGAAGTGTTCATCCAACTTGACGTTTCTCTTTGTGGAACATTCTACGTCATTCCTCGAACATTCTGCCTATTTCTCGTTGTTCGCTTCGCGTTGCCGCAGTATTCGCCACAATATATATTAACAGTTGAAAATCATTTACACCGGTTCACAACAATTATGCTTGAAACACAATACCCGGCGAACGGCAAATTTCGCCCAGCAGAGCGATGCCGACGACCAACTTTCGCCCAGCTAATTCGCTTACTGAAACACAAATAGAGCGGTAACGAAAACAGCTGGTTGTTATATACTTCAGAGTGGAAATATTTATTTAAGCGTGCTCAAAAAAGTTTAATTATTTAAAATGAATAAAATCCAAAAAAATTTTAAAATAATGAATGTTATGTTCATGATGATAAAGACGTTTCTCCTAGTGCGTCAACGTTTGAAAAGGAGGTGGTGGGTACGCCCTGTGAACCTCACCAGGGAAAACCTTGGCTTTTACACAACCTGTTTTGCCCAACTCAAGCTGAAAGATGAGGGTGATTTTTTTAAGGCAACGAGAATGACCGTGCCCAAGTTTAACGTCCTTCTTACGTTGCTTAGAGAAAGACTGCAACGTTTTTCCAGAAGAAAACCAGTGGACGAGGAGTCACGTTTGGATATTACATTGACGTAAGTTAGCGCTAATAAGACAATCGCATGTAAACATACACTACATACATATCTGCAGATACTTATCTCAAGGCTGCAGTCCACAATTTTTGGCATGGGCTCATAAGTTAGGCGTTTCCACCATAAGAAAAATTATTTATGAAACCTGCGATGCTATTTGGAATGAGCTGCAGTCAGAATTCGTTGCCCAACCAAATCGAACAGAATGGAAGAACATTGTGGAGCGGTTTGTTTAAAGGATTTTAATTTTATACAAACATAATTTGTTATTTCGCTTATAAAAAGGTTTTATATAAAAACTGGAATGCCGCATTGTCTCGGCGCTGTCGATGGCAAACACATCAACATAGTTTGTCCAAAACGTAGTGGATCTCTGTATTACAACTACAAGAAGACATTCAGTATTGTACTAATGGCTGTTTGTGATGATAACTACACTTTCGTCTTTGTTGATGTTGGAGCATTGGGAAGCCAAAGCGATGGTGGAGTTTTCGCGCGCAGTGCTTTTGGCAACATGATATTAAGAAACAACCTTGAGCTTCCTCCAGATGTCAACCTTCCTGGTAACTCAATGTTTTTCATGAAATATATATCGTCGATTGGTGCACAATCGGCCCTATGCTATCGTCGGTAAAAGTGGCGATACCTCCATCGTCAGCCATGTTACTGATAAAATGTAATTGCTAATTTACATACCGAAACCTGAGTGGAAGATCGACTTATCTCAACAGCCAGTTAGAAAACGCCCTATCTCAGAAAACTTTTCAAAACCGCCATATTTCAGAATTTGATTGAAACACGTCCTATCAGAGAAAACTTTTCAAAACCGCCCTAATTTAGAATTCGGTTCAAAAGCGCCCTATCTCTGCTGCTGATTCGTAAACGCACTATCTCAACATATTTTCAATACATTTTCAGTTGATATAAGGCGTTTTTCAATAAACTTCTGAAATGGGGTGTTCTTGAAAAGTTTTCTGAAATAGGGCGTTTTTCAATCAAATTCTAAAATGGGGCGTTCTTCAATCAAATTCTGAAATAGGGCGGTTTTGAAAAGTTTTCTGAGATAGAGCGTTTTCTAACTGGCTGTTGAGATAAGTCTTCCACTCAGGTGTCGGTATGTAAATTAGCAATTAAATTTAAAGATATTTTAACTAGGTACAAATACGATATTTCCTTATTATTTTGTGGGAGACAACGCATTTCCTCTAATCAAAAATGCGCCCATACCCAGGTCGGAATTGGTCTCCCATAAAACAAAATTTTAATAAAAAGCTTTCATCTGCTAGAGTTCACATTGAAAACGCATTTGGTATCCTAGCAAACAGATGGAGAATACTTCACAATACTATTCACGCATCACCACAAATGTAGATAAAATTGTGCTAGCAACAGTAGTTTTGCATAATTTTTTAATGCTAGACAGAAACAGAGGTTATTTCAATGAGAATTTGGTCGATCACATTGAAGATGGTACTTTTACTCCAGGAACATGGAGGCAATCAGGTTCTGAAATAAGATCCATACGCGTTTCCCAGGCAAATCGCTCGCCAGCATCGAGAGAAGAACTGACAGAACACCTTTTTAATAATTATTATTTATTTTTCTAGTTTCTATTATTTTGACCTTAGGCATACACGCCGTGTCAAATTTATAAATGCCCCGCATATTGACACGTTTTAAAAATTTACTGTTTTGTTATTTAGTTTTCGTTACTTTTTTATATATTAGTCTGTAATAAAAACCGCATAAATTCAAGTTTCAAACTTTGTGCAATACATAAATAAGTCAACAAACTTTCGTTAAAATTGCAGGCCTTTGATTTTAATTGATTTCTTAGAAAGATTTTGGGTAAGCTAGTTTTTAACCCATTAAATTTCAGCATATAAAAGTGCAAGTTTGAAGTAGCTAGGACTTACCGTTAATTTTTGTAATTTTTTTTCTGAAGGGGTTGGGCATTTTCATCCATACAAAATATGCTCGACGATTTTTTTTATATAGAAGAAAATGAGCAAGATCTTCAACAAAAAAAAATTTTAAAAATCAACGGTAAGTCTTAGCTACTTCAATCTTGTAATTTACCGTACTGAAATTGAATGGGATATTGCACAAAGTTTGAAACCGGGATTTATATGGTTTTTATTAAAGAATAAACTATGTCTTTATAAAAAATAATTACATTAAAATAACAAAAAAATTATTTGTTAAAACTTGGCAATAGGTGGTGCGCTTATAATTTGAACACGGGGTGTATGTCCATACATATTTTTATAGGTTAAAACACATTTGTTATGGATAACATTTTAATTCATAGAATTTTAATTCATTACATTATAATTCATAACTTATCTTATTTGTATACTAGTGAATGTACATACTTACATAAGAAATAATCGTAAAATGAAATAAAAATAAAATAGACAAAACGAATTCAGTCTTTCCATATACTTTTACTTTTAGAGATCTTTTTGCGTTTTGAGATCAACTTGTATATTACAACTAAACTCAAACAGAAGATGGGAGACCTGGCCGTTATTTAGGCCGTTTTCTAGAACATAGATTTTGTTTGAATTAAATTTGCAAAAAGTCTGTTTGTCTACAATTTTTACAAACGAGTAAAAAAACATTGTACCTATAGTACACCGCCAAACGATTAGAAACAGTAGGATTTTTCGAATTGTAATTATAATTTTATATAAATATAGTTAATATTACTGAATGCACTATATTAAGGAAAAAAAATTAACTAAAAATATTGTGAAATTAAGAAAAAAGCGACAGATAGAAATGTTGTAGTAATAGTAATATGATAGTATTTTAGCGTAGAACTTCTTTTTGCGTAGGCGGCCTTCGGCCGCACTTAGGGATTATAACCCTCACTACGTAGAATTCTCTTCTGTGTTGCCAAAGAATGGGGGCTGAACACCTTTTGCAGAGAACACCTTTCTGCGTAGGCGGCCTTCGGCCGCACTTAGGGATTATAACCCTCACTACGTAGAATTCTCTTCTGTGTTGCCAAAGAAAGGGGGCTGAACACCTTTTGCAGAGAACACCTTTCTGCGTAGGCGGCCTTCGGCCGCACTTAGGGATTATAACCCTCAGGCAGTAGAATTCTCCTTTCTGTTTTGCGAAGAAAAGGAGCTGAACACCTTTTGCAGAGATCACCTTTGTATATTTTTAATGCTTACTGGGTTATATCCTATCTTCTTTTGTCTCTCATTCTTTTGCATATTTCGGAGTTTGACAGCTGAACTCCGCCATTTAATTTGCATGTGCAACCAAAGTCAGACGCGTGATTTTGAAGGTGTTTTTATTTAATGAATTGTGATTAATTGGTTAATATTAAAGTCGTAAATCAAGTTATAACTAATCGAGTAAAGTGTAAAGTGAAGGGGAATACAAAAATGAATTGGTGAAGTGGATGCTTTAAGGAGAATAGGAGTGATAAATGTACGCTAATTTCCAAATTTTACAAAAAAGGGCATATTTCAAACATAATTTGTAAATAAATTAGTGACCAAAAATTACAATAGTGGATGTTAAAATAATGGGTAGACCCTTGGCTACAAGTGTGTGCAATTTTTTTTTGGATCGGGTCACCTCTTTGGACGCAATACCCCGATATAGGTGGGCCACTTACTAAACAGTACCCCTCATTTTTCCTCACTTCTTCTATTATAATTTCGTTAACATCCATTTTAATTTTTGCGGTTGGCAAATGCTTAAAATTTTATTTCCAAAACCAATTGGCAAACTGTGAGTTTATTTACTTCGAATGCTGTCAGCTGATAAGGTGACCATGTTTCAAGAAGGAAGCTTTTACAACGAAGAGGGAAAATACCAGCAAGAAGAAGTTTAAAATATAGAAATAGTCTTTAAATATAACTACTAGTAAACTTACGTTATACTCTCTCTCTGATAGAAAAATATAAGGTATATTATTTTACTTTTAAACAAAAATTACGACAACTTTTAAAGTATGGTCATCATGGCCTTTTTTGTCGTTGCAGTTGACCGCGGCGATAGAAATAAATCTATCGTCGCGAACAGTCTTCGAACAACCTTCGTCGTTTGCTTTGTTTGTGCGCATTCTCATATAAATCAGTGTGTTTTAATTAATTCGGCGAACATTCGCGACGAAAAATTTGCCGTTCGCCGGTGTTGTGCTTCAGCTTTTAGTTTTGTTACAACTTTGCAAAATTTCACTTTTTCACTGATTACTTATAGATGTTTGCCAAAGGTGCAAAATTTTTATAAAAACGTAAAGCGATTTCAGTGATTTTATAATCAAACAAAATGTAATCGATTTACCTTTCTTCTTATATATATTAACAGGTGCAAATCATTTACACCGCTTCACAACAATTAGTTTAGTTACAACTTTGCAAAATTTCACTTCTTCACTGCTTACTTATAGATGTTTGCAAAAGGTGCAGAATTTTTATAAAAATGTAAAGCGATTTCAGCGATATTATAATCAAAAGAAAGGTAATCGATTTACCCTTCTTTTGATGTATAGTAACAGTTTTAAATCATTTACAAACTCAGTTTTCTGATGGTGCTCCTGGCGATGAAACTGCTGGCATTGAAGGTGCTGATGGTGAATGCCAAATCTGTAAACAAAAAAATATCAATTAAAGTTTATAAACATATATAAAATCTCAATATATACCTTTAGATTGTATCTAAGTCGCTGGTGTTTTGCAATCTAAAAGAAAAAAAAATTACATTATAATCAAATAAAATTGTTAAATGTAAATGGGCACGTTCATAAGACGTAGCTGTTTAGCTCATCTGCTACGAAACTGTTGGCAACTGTTGAACCCAACAATTACGTCTTAGAAACGGCTTGATGAATATGCTGCCAAATGAACAGCTGATAAATGTAAACAAATGAAATTGCAATAAATAGAGATAGTTGCGCCGATAGTATTCACAATTCAACGCTGAGCTGTTGCCGTGTTGGAAAAATCGTTCAATGTTATAATGAATTAAGCAGTGTATAATTATATAGCAAACAATTTGGAAACATATATTTAGAAATGTAGTATTATTATAAAATATTTTAGTTGCTTTATCACATCAGTAATATAAAATGGAATAAATTTATTTGCAACTGCCACCTAACAAAGCGGCCTTAAATTTAATATAAGCGGCGTAAGTCTTTTCGATCAGCTGTTTAGGCTATGCCCAATACGTTGAGTTCAGGTAGCGTACAAATTTTCCGCTGGAAAAAATGGCGGAAAGTTGCCAACAGTTGAGCTGAGCGGAACTACTCAACTGTGCGTTTCTAAGAGAAACAGACAACGACTACGCAACAGCTACGTCTTATGAACGCGCCCAATGTATGTATTCTTACCTTCAAAATTTTCGCAAAGTGACATTTCTTCACAGTATAGTTGCGTTCCAGATGCTTCACGATTTGCAGGTTTTTACAGGAAGTCGTTCCAGGTGACCACCTCCCTTGAGGTTTATTAATGGAGGAAACAGCTGTTCCTGCAAATCGTGAATTTCGTGAATATCGTGAAGCATCTGGAACGCAACTTAGGTATACTGCCATCAAAACTTCGATTTTTCTAACTTGCTCGCTCTAACGCATAGAATTCTTATAAGGCTTTCCGCACATTGGTCGTCCAATCATAGTTGCTTCATCGTCACAATCATGATGCAACGATTACATGACGACTACACTTTCGCATACTCGGTCGTGATATTTCAATTCATTTGGCGTCTAAAAATTCACTTGGAGCAGGTATTTTCTATTTTTCTGGTGGATATTTTCGCGAAATATTTACAAAAACCTGCAATTTTTAAAATATAGACTGTGCTGCACCAATTCTAGACATCATTTTTCTGTAATATCTATTCTTTTCTTTTCCTGAAATGTATTTTGTGCATGCACACAGAGACTTTTTACAATTTCGTCATATTTTATAGTTAAAACGCTCACATTTATTGAATCTTAATGCAATTACCCACTTTTTAATAATTTCCACAGATTTTATGCAAAAAAATACTAACTTTTATACAATTTTAACGCAAATATTAACTTTTTCACTAATTTTTCCCCATAAAATGTAAACAAACAATGTGTGCACAACGATTAGCAAACGACAGTGCCGTACTTATCCGTTTCTGCATCTTCTACGTTTTGCCGATAACTAGCCGATAATGACAAGTGTGCAGATCTCATTTGAATTGCATGTGCTCGGTCCAAAATTTCAGGGCGAGACGATAACACAACTGTGGCGACAAAAAAGTTAGTCAC